GAAAAAGAACAAGAACAAGAAGAACAAGAAGAAGAAAAAGAAGAAGAAGAAGAAGACAAGGAGGAGGAGGAGGAGGAGGAGGAGAAGAAAAGGAGAACTTAATTAAGGAACAGGAGGATACAAGAACAATGAAGAGGAGGACGAGGAGGAGGTCAACGATGAGGGACAGGAGAACGGCGGGGAGGAGGAGACAGCAAAGGGTACTTTAAGGAGAAGGAAAGGAGAAGAAAAGAAGAAATAAGGAAACATAATGTGAATAGACTTACTTAACTCAAATTGCTTCACAGCAAATGATCTATATAACTCATAACCGGTAAGAACATAAACAAGATCTAGATCAATACATTAATTCTAGACTTTCAGAGTCTTCACATGTTTGCCTCATTATTCTGCAAAGAAAAAACAAACTATAACTACAAAGAAATGAATGAGCAATTATTCAAATCACTGCGAATTAACACCGAGGGCCTAGATCTAGATCTAGATCTAGAAATCTAGTCCTAGATATCTATCTAGAATCTAGATCTAGATTCTAGTTAACCTATTGTAGACAATTGTGTAGTGAAAACAAACAGAGGGCAACCAAGCAAACTATACACTGTTGTAACTGTAAGAATTAAGCATGCAGATATTAAGAACTGATCAATGTTTCTATCAAAAGACCTTTCCAATGCATCGAGTGGCCTCCCCGATTCAAGATTCAACACTGCTGACACACTGATAGGCCCATGCAGATACCTGTGCTTATTCATGCATAACATTCATTAAAAAAAGATGGATGTGCCAATGCCAATGCAATGCCAGCCTATACTTTTGTCAAAGCCAAACCAAAGCCTACGCATTTTTTCTTTTAGCAACCATTCAATCCTCCCAAGTTACATCAGACGATACACTAGATCTAGATAAAGCATGTTGAAAATAGATCTAGATCGAGATCTAAATATCTAGTATTCTATGTCAACCCAGGTCAGTGGGGAGTCCATTAATCAAGCCAAAGCGTCAGCTGTTTTGACATTCGTTAGTTTATTCTGAGCCCTTAATGAGGCCTTAATCTAGATCTAGTCGACTCTATTCTCTCATATATAGATCTAAATCTAGAACTAGGACACTGCATTTTATATCAATTCCCTTCGAGCGCCTTATGCATTCATTTCAAAGCTTTTATCGGTGGAAAAATGCCACTCACCCCAAAAACGCAATCCACACAAGTAGAACGACGCAACTCAACACTGGAAATGCCCTGTGTAGGCCGCCATGTTTCAGGTGCTCCCAGCTTCCCTAACAACACCAATGAAAACACAAGCATTATTGCTCAGCATCTAAAAATAGACTTTCAGCGTAAAAGATTTCTCCGGCGAATTCAAACCCATGGCAAAGATTCTCATAAAGCCCACAGTTCAGTCACAGACCGAGCGACTCTGGTTTATTCAAAGATTCTCTTGATTCTACTAGATTCTACCACTACCAGTACAGAATATTAAGTTTCATGTACATGTAGTTAGTTTTAAAAAAGCAACCCCCTTGGGCACACAACGTACTGATAAAGAATTGGAGCAATAAAATAATAAACAGTATACAATCTAACATGCATATTAATATGATGCACACGCACGCGAGTGCACACACACACACACACACACACACACACACACACACACCCACACACACACACACACACACACACAAATCTGCGGACAGATTTTTTGGGTGTATTTTTTGCTTTGTTTTGTTTTGCACTTCGTAGGCCTAACTAGATCTATATAACTTCTAATTCTTATGGAGCTTCTCTTCTATAATTCTTTCTGAAAGTTTGATCTCTTTTATCTGTTTTTCTTTAAAACCCAACTATTACTTTGTCTGAATCGAGTTCTCATAGGCGCTTCATGTCCCTCGTTTGTTCGTGTTTTTCAATGTCATTTATTTGGGGCGTCGCTAGTTACACTGTTTTGTTATAAATGTTTTGCGCACGGCACTAAGTCTTGCAAGACAACAAGTCACCGCGCCCTTTATAGGACATATTATAACATAGGTTAGAAGATCAGATTTAGTTTTAGCATGTGTTTTACGACACTTGAAACACAATAAGCACATATAAGCGTAGAAGATTAGAGGTGTTGCAAGAGAGTAACAATTACACCAAAAAAGGAGGAGGAGTGATAAGGATGATAGATGTTTGATAAGGAAGAAGGATTAAGTCACAACAGAGCCACCCG